GGACACCCTTATCTTATTCCTGATGTTAGGAAAAATGCTTTCAATTTCTCTCAACTTAGGTTGGTAATGACTGTGAATTGGCTGTAAGTCGTCTTTATTATGTTGAAGTGTGTCCTTTGTATCCTTTGTCTTTCCAGAACTTTTAGCAGAAAGGGATGTTGGATGTTATCTAAAGGGTTTTTTGTACCTAATAAAATCAGCATGTGAGTTTGTGCTTTAGTCAATTTATGTGATTCATACATGTTGGACCATGCCTTCATCTCTGGGATGAAGCCAACATGATCATGCACATTAAACTTTTTTGATGTGTTCTTCGATTAATTTTTCAAGTACTTCATTGAGTGTGAGGTATACCTTACAAATATTTGCAAATCCTGGAACAACTAAAGTTAGTAGGTTCTCAAATTGAAGATGAAGGTAGGAAGGTAGTATCAATAAAGACATAATAAGAAGCCCCACTTTGTGCCATACTGAGATTCCCATAAGTTTATGATGACAAATTCATTTCTCCATTGAAAGGAATATAATTTACCAAGAATCCTCTCATACTTTCGCAGAGTATGAAAATTTTCATACTTCAGTTAATACAACTTACATTACTCCTTCCAAACTCTGATTCTGAAGAACATTCATACCATCACTAATTTCCTCAACTTTACATGTTTTGCTCCCTCACCCACTTCTAATGACTTTCTTGATTTTACCCAATAATTATCTCCCAAATTCACATGTAACAAAATTAATAAAAAAAAAAACAGGGACAGATAGTGAAGTTCAACCTGAAGGTCAGAAAAGCAAAACTGGCTCTTACCTCTACCTCAGTCTGAAATGGCAATCCTGCCTCCAGTGATTCTCAGAATGAGACTGTGTGTGAGAGATGTCTCCTCCCATCTTATATCTCTTTCTAGGGCTTGGATTGAAGGTGTGCACAACTACTGCCTGGTTTCTGTGGTGAACTAGTGTAGCTACTGGGATTAAAGGTGTGTGTCACCACTGCCTGGTCTGTAAGGCTGTGTACAGTAAATGTTTTTTTTTTCTCTGATCTTTAGGCAAGCTCTATTTATTAAAATAGAAATAAAACATCACTATATACATATGTTTATCCTAATTTATTTTAAAGCCATGTTCTCTTGAAGAGTGATTAAGTTTCTTTTACTTCAGTGTTACCTACTCAGAAAAGATAAGGTCCTGCTATTAGATTCTGCCAAATCTACCTATGAGTATTGATTCTGAGTAAAGAAGTAAATGTTCTTACTACAGACAGAAAGAATAGTTTACACATATCAATTCCCATGTTTGGTCTGTTTGTCAAGGGTATCTAGAAAAAATAAAATAAATAGAATGCAGACACACACACACATACACACACACACACACACACACACACTTGAGAGACAGAAAAAGAAAATTGTAAAAGACTGACAAGTACAAAATTTGTAGACTAAAGAAGAAGGGCAACTTGAGCCCGTATGATATTCATTCTGCTGACAGAATTACCTTTTTCTCTGAGGAATTTAGCATTAGTTCTATTAAGATGTTTCTTTGATTACATAAATCCCACACATATTGTGCAAGATCGCCAATTCCAAATCTAACAATTTAAATATGAATTTCATTAAAAAACACTTTTACAGAAATATAAAAAATTATGTTCATCCAACTCTCTGTGTTATGACTCTGACTATTTGACATATAACATGAACTGTCACAGTATAGTTTCCCAAAGTCACCCTCCAATTCAATAATACTGTATGAAGCTTCATTGACTCATGGAAACCTGTTATGCTCAAATTTGCATTTATTACAGGGAAATCACCATGAAAAGAGAGCATTGTATGGGGCAGAATCTTTGAGTCTTTTCAGCAGGTGTAATCCTCTTGGTATTAATCTAAGCCTCTGATATTGACAACCCAGGAAATTAACCTGTGCTTTGAGGTTCAGACTTTTTGTTGGAACTTCATTATGTAGGTAAAATTGGATGATTAAATTGTCCATGTAATTGAATGGAATATCCAGCCTTCACTACTCCTTAGATTGTCATTGCTATCAATAAGCTGAAGGGTTTTCTTTCTCGGTTAAGATAGAAACCAGAAAAAAATCAAAGTACAACTTTCCTAACTTCAGCAGCCCTTAACATCAACTGATCTTACTTCTTTGAGTTAGTAATCCTGGGCCTTGAGTGATCATGACTTTAGGATGTTAACAAGACTCTTGTACTCTTGTTTCTAAGTAGCTAAATCTAGCTAGCCACTACCTACAACTTCGAGGAACTTTGCTTAGCACAAAAGCTACTACTAGACTTTTATACTTCCACTGCTGTCTTCCATTCTCTGCTTGCTAATTGCCCTCTGTGGTATCAACTCCTACTGTTGGTTATGGGCAGTACCAGCCCGCTCTAGTTTTATATTCTCAGCCTGTCTACTCAAGACAAAAAATATTAACAAGCAACAGTGTTACCGTGGAAAGGGCTTTATCAAGACTTCTATCGCAATGTAAATGTGTCAGTGTAGAAACAGACCCAATGAGTGTGTGGGTGAAGGTACCACTGCTCATACGGAAAGCAGTAGGAAATGAAAAGAGTCTATTGCATCACATGTACATCGTGTACCTCAGTGGAAAGATGTACTCTTTGATAACCTCCTGAAATCCTTTACAACATCCACAGATGCAGTGAGTTTTGATCATCTAGGGCAGACCTGTGGTATATGTTGCTCTGAGGAAAGTAAATCCATCCCCTCTGGTGTAACAATGATATATTTGAGCAGTCGCTGCAGATAAAATGATTCGCCCTTTTTGACCCTTTCATCTGGTCTCAGCATTTCGTGATATAAGGATATTGCCATAGGTATTATTACCAATTTATGCTTTCAGGGTATTTGTTTCCTGTGTTCCAATCTAAACATAGTGACAAGAACAAACTTATCACTCAGTATTGTTAAAAGCCTTAAAGATTAACAGACATTTCTTATCACAAAAGCCCCAAACAGTTGTGAATGAAGACATGATTCGTAGTACGTATGTGCTCATCTTTCTCCACAGTCCACAATGCTGATCAGTTCTGTGCCTTATACTCTGACGCCGCATCCACGGGTTCTTCCTCTGTGGCTTCCTATTGCTTTTAGAACACAACCGCATGCCTAGCTTGGTTTTATTTCTCCAACCCCATTTGGACTTGCATTTCTACTTGACTCTCCACAGAAGTCACTATCCTGTCCTAACACCTTTACCATAAGAACTGCATAAGTGCTAATTCCTAGGCATAAATTACTCTTCCCTTTCCTCTTTGACTAATTGACTAGTAATTAATCACTCTCATTTCTTAGCACTTACTTGAGAAGTAGTTTTTAAGCATATAATTAAAGTTTTCTTTCCCATGGGGGTCCTTGCATGTTTCAGAGAGAAATCCTGCTGCCTTTACTTCTCATTATATCTCAGTCCTTAACATAGTATGCGACAAATAATAAATGTAAATTAATAAATGATGCTCTTAAGAATAATGTTTTGTCCAGACTAATTCACTCAAGTCTCAGGGGCTTAGTTTGATGAGCAATTCAAAAAAACCCCACATATTTGTGGACCATAGATGTGCAAGGCTTTTTTATCATAGAAACAATTTGTACTAAAGGTAACATTGCTGGTAGGGATGTACTTATATGCTTTGACTATTATTAAGTAGATTCCATTATGAATAAGTATGAGATGATGCCAGTCTTTCCCTATTTCAGCTACTAATACTGTAAACTAAAAAGTTTCATTGAAATACCTAGAAATGAAAATGTTTTCATCTTTAACTCTGATTTAAGTTTGTTTTTTGTTCACAACCAAAGCACTCAGAAGGCTCGTGTCAGCACGCAAACTGCCAAAAGGAATCCACACAGGATTTGGTTAATGAGTCGTACTGATCACAACATTCTCTCATTATTTGTTTGCATACACCCTGGTGTGTGATCTCAGAACACATGTGCAGAGATGGGGAATCCGGAGCCTGGTGGAGTGTTTGCTTCTTTCCTTCCAACACAGATGTTTGGCGGCACTCAGGAGACAGGATATTGTGCTAATGCTGAGCCACGTTTATATCTGTGTTTATCTTCAAATAGATCTAACTGTTTTGAAGCCATGAATTTTTTACCCATAATTATAATGACAGAACTGGGTGGCATTGTGGATAGCTTGCTATGTGTCTAAAAAGGTAGGAAATTTTGCTTCTGGGATTTAGTGAGTGAGCATAATGCTTCTAGAAGCAACAGTATGCATCATAAAAGATTCCAAATCAATATTTTTATGGTAGAAGTTGATGGGTTTGCTGCTACTTTCAAAGGAAAATGAAAAAATTCAAACATTGAAATAAAGTGTTACATTGACCCAAGACTGGAAGTTCTCAATCTACATGTTAGGCCAGAACATGAAGACAACAGACAGAGAAAACTGTGCAGTGATCTCATAAATAAATGGAAACATAGCTGGATTGTCCAGGCCATCAATGTCCCAGGAACATAAAGTGTAAACTCTGTCTATCTTCCAAGTGTCCTATGTCTGGAATCCCTTACAGAAAGGAAATCAACCAAAATAAAGTGATATAGACAAAAATAATAAACATTAGAAATCCAGTTGCCATGGAGATAAACCAAATCTAAATAGATACATGTTCATAATTACTGAAATATATACTGAAAGAGTCTGTGTCACATAATCTTTTTGTTGGTACCTACTTAAAAATTATGTATGTATGTATGTACATATGTATGTATGCATGTATGTATATGTGTGTGTATCAAACATACAAAACACCAAAACTGCAAGTTCTGTAAAAAGAATAAGTTTATATTTTATGAAAATGCAAAATGTTGAAATGAAATGATTTATTCTTATGTCTTGTACACTATATGTTCAACATGTTTATTGACTCAATGTAAGAAAAGAAGTTTTAAAAATACAAAGAGGAAAGATTAAAGTTTTTCCAAAAAATATACTCATCATTCTTATTATTCCTTTTCTTCTAGTTTCTCAGTCTGATTGACATTGGTTCAGAATTTAAAAGGAATAACAACTTCATTAGACAATATCTAAACAAAAAATAAGAAAAATGAGAAAGCTTTTGTGGATTAACACAGCATCCAGCAAGAACCTCCATCAAGACTCAAACGACCCTGTCTTCTTTTTTGTTTTGTCTTTACTTTTCTTAATATAAAACTAGATACATATTGCTGAAACTGGAATTTCTGAGTGTCTTAAATTTTCTCATTTTCCAACTTGTTTTTCTGTTAATATAGTAATTATAAAGCTTGGAACTTATCCTATATTTTCCTTCTCAGATGTGAAATACTCCAAAGGAGAATAAAGAATAATAGAAAGCAGCTCACCATTTTTTTTATCATTCTGTTTATATTCAATTATACAAACTTATAGTTCCCTTCTTATTTTGTTTTTATAGCATGTAATTAGAGAAACAACACTTTTTGAACACAAAAAAAGCTCTGTTCTCCAAGCCACCATGAAAACAAAAATCAAAACAAACAAAACCTGGTTCTTTCAATTCTCCAGATCTTACAATAAAATCCCCTTGCCATGCTCAACATTTAAATGGGCTTTCCCAGTTAACTCATGTCCTAACATGTGCATTAGGTCCTATGTATATTGATCTTTGCCATTTCATTCAGTTCACAAATACCATAGCCAAAGGAGATAGCTTATATAAGATCCCTAAGAAGATTTAAACCTAAAAGGAAAGTCAGAGAACAGAATTGTTGGGAAGAGGATGAGAATTTTGTCAGTAAAGATACTTTCAACACAAAAGAAAGGTGTGGACAAATAATGACATTTGTCAAAACTTTCCACTAAGGTTTTAAACTATTTTTCTTTCCAATTCATAGAGTTGGCTGTGAATAATTTTGTAGATTTAGGAAGAAAAGAAAATCTGTCTAATATATAAGAAATTTAGAGATCTTTGAGATGTACATGGGACTAAAGATTCTCTGAAATTGTTTCCCAGAGTACCTGCTTACATGTGACCATGTGGCTTTCTAAATCACCAATCGTGAACTTTATTGAACCACTTGAGACAGAAGTACATTCCTTTGTCATTTTTCAGAGTTTTATTAATGTATCCTTCGATGCACTGTAATATTCTCCCTATTTACCTCACACAGCTGTATCCCTCCAGCTTAAGGAAGTGTGTTTGTTCAGATTTCTCAGTTCTGCAGCAAAGGCAGGTAAAAATCAAGGGACGCTCACTCATCTGTTAAACTGTCAGTCTCTCATAACTTGAATATTGATTTTACGGAAGGCTGTGGCATTCCCTAGGTGAGCATGTCAAGCCTGTTGACAGGGAGATCTTTGCTTAATTGAATTGAGGGGTGTCAGTGATGTATGTTTTGTCACCCACTGTGTACTCAGGAGAAGGTGATGACATTCCTTCATGTGCTGACCAAACTCTCTGTGCATGTCTTATTACCTCAGCATTTTTTTTCTCATAAAGACCTGAGAGCAATACGTTTATCCATCCAAGAGATGATTATGCATTAAAAACTTGAAGCATGAAATATCAGATGGGGAGAGTCATAAATGATTTGACACATGAGCAATAATTTTAATTTGGTCACTAAGCTTGCAGTGTCGCTTTACTAGTCTGTAATATGGGGGTAATGATCATCCTTCCTGGCATTAACTGCCTCTCAGCAGTGTTGTAAAGATTAATTTATGTTTCAAAATGGCTTTTCAAATGAAGGTGCAATGTAAATGTTAGTTTCTAAAGCAAAGCCCTTGCCGGCCAATGCTGGCTTTGTCTCTGATTAACATTTAAAATGCTGTATGAGGAATTCAATTTTGTTTGGCCAGTATCAAAGAAATATTTTTAGTCATCCTAAAGGGAAAATGAAATGCAGTTCTCAATACTTTAACACAAATAAAACAAGAGAAGATTATCTCCATTAATTTAACAAATATACTATCTAAATCACCATTTTGTCGTTTATAGGTTCCCGCTGGGAAGAAAAGAAGCCCACTGGCTTTCAACCTAACAAATTGTGTTGTATTGCATCAGTAAGTTACACAAATTAGCCTGAAACCACTTCAACTTAATGTATGTAAAAATATTCCAAGGTAACATTTTGTAGTCTGAGTTCTCGACTTTTCATTTGATTCAGATATGCATTTAAATGATTGGTCACTAAGGTCTCAGGCTATTTCCTCGCTGCCAAAATTATAGTGCACAGATCCACATAAATATGAATAAGAACAGTAGAAGCAGGTTTTCTATGTGTTTGAAAGTTACTAAGCATTAACACTGCCATGCTGTTAAGTTACAAACCTGAAGTTGTGAAGCTGCAACATTCAAGTTTTCTGTTTTCCAGTACCTTCTCCAGTGACAGTGGATATGGGTTGTAGTAACTGCTGTCTTTGCTAGTTTTGCTCATGTGCAAATGGCTCTTCTAGCTTTTCTTCTGTCAGTTCACTCCTCTCTAATATTTTAATATAGATTCTTCTCCAATGAGTGAGTTCTGAACACTTTGTAGTGCATTTAAAGTGTACCTTCCACAACACCTCAAGAACTGATCCACTTACATGAGTAAAATGCTGAACTCAACACCAAACTAAATGAACTTTAGCTCTTTTTTCATGTCTTGAACAGTATCTACTTTGTACTGGTGACTGATAACATTGACAGTCTGTCAAACCATCATCTTACCAAAAACATATCAAAATATGTTAGAGACTTTCCATTTATTTCTGGAACTAGAGTTTCATGTGTTTGAGTCCTGAACCAAACACTGAAAGAGAAGAAAAGCAGATGATCAGTCCCTGAACCCAGCAGCTCACAGTCTACCAGGACACAACTGAAAATGAGAAAACACAGTGAGAGCTTGTCTTGAAAAAGCAAGAACACCAGTATCTTTGGGTGCCATTTAGACTGTAATCTCAGAAGTCTTTCCTATAAAAAGAGTTGCAAAGTTTAATTCTGAATATCGGAGAAAACATGAAGTGAAGGAATAGGTAAAAATATGGTTGAATACAGAAGGCATTGCAAATACAGAAAAGAATCTGTGTCCTATTCCCCACATCTAATCAGTTCTAAATAATGAACCATAAAGTCAATATATTTAAGCAGCACAATGTTCCCAACATTCTCAGTTCCCACTGACACCTATTTTCTGCCATTGTATCCTCTTTACTGTATGAATCACAAACATGAACATATACTCGATATTGTTCTAATTTCTCCCTCTCGAAAGTCTCCAAGGTTTGTTTTCTGCTTTACTTCCATCTGAAAATTTTATTTTCATCCTAAAATGTTATGCTACTTACAGAAGAATATTTGGTAGTCATTCAATCTTCAATGTGCTTATGTGCCTGTTTGGTTTTATTATCAGAGGCTCAAAGATTTTTCCTAAGAATATTAGACAAGAAAGAATGAAAAGAGATTTTAAATGTTTCTCTTTAGTTTATTTTTTATTTTTCAAATAGAAAATGTATAATTTATGTGCTTGGAATCTTGAAAGTGTTAATTCTGATTTGATATATGCTTTCCAATTTCAATTATTTTTAACAAATAAGAAGAAAAATATTCTTATGGTAACAAAATCTTTAACCTTGATTTTAATATATTCTTGCTTTGATAAATATGAGAACAAACTCTAAGCCTCATGAAAGTCAGCCTAAATGTCAATCAACTGATCAATAGATAATGAAAATGTACTACAAATACACAATAAAATTATACATATACATAAATATCAGTAAACTATAAAATTAAATTTACAATTTACCTGACAGAATTGGAAAAATATATACTCAGCCTCAGTCAGTACATTTTAACCCAGCTTTTACTTTTTTATTTAATACATTTAATTATAACCCCTAAAGAATGCACAAAAAATAAAATGATGACTTGGGGCTTGCTTTAAGGAATAGAGGGATAGCAAAATAAAATTCAGATGAATGGAGAGAATGGAAATTATGGTAGTGGGAAAGTTCAAGTGGGAATGGTGGTGGGGAAACCTAAGAAATAAGGTGATCAGAACAGAGAAATAGCCAAAACTATCTATGAAAAGGCCATATGGAAATGACAGTGGTTTAAATGAAAAATAGCATTATTGGTTCAAGTATTTAAATACATGATCACTAGTGTGCAGAACAATTTGGGGGGGGTGGAACCTTTATGGAAGCCTTTCTGGAAGAAGTACGCAACTTGGGCAGGTTTTGTGTACTTATAGCTTTGTGTATTTATAACATTCCATCCTGTTTGGAAAATCAGCTTCCTATGTGCAGATCTCTCAGTTTCCTCCTCCTGCATGACTTCCCTATCATTACAAACTCTAGACCTCTGGAAATTTAAGTAAAGATAAACTTTCCTTTAATTTGCTTTTAGTCATGGTGTTTTATTACAGCAGTAGAAATACAACTAATGCAGGGAATTTCTGCTTTGTAAGACACCCTTTTAAAAATTACAAGTTAAAAATCAGTCTGGAAATATCCTACACAGATTGATAATGCTGTCAATCCAGTCCATTTTTTTATCAAGCAAAATCATAGCACCAGATGTGAGATACTTTCTTATGAGTATGAGATTTCCCAATGTTTGGTAAAGTAATTTTAGGGGTTTATGAAGACCTTTCAGGGTGTCTTGGTCCATCAAATCACATTAGCCTGAAAAAATTCACAGGGTCTTATCCTCTGTAGAAACAAAAGCAGAACTGCTTTTCTAAAGCAACATATCCTTAGACAAGATACCTTTTTGATATATATTTTGAACTGGCTCAGCAGCCCATATAATGAAATGTCTCTCTGTACTTTGCTCATTCACAGTCAAAAAATTCAAAGAAAACACAATAATATACATAATCCAGACTTTCTGCGTATATTCCATCTTTACATGGTTTATTTTTCTTTACTCCTTTAATCTATGACCATCTGTACTCTGTGCCTTTAAAAGCTTTGTTTTATTTTTTCTATACTCCTTTTCTTCTCTCTCTCTAGCCTATGTAGATTTATCCGCCACTGTGACCCATTTAGAGGTCTTTTCCATCTGGATTTGTCTTTATTGCACACATATCTGTAATCTTTTCTGATCAGAACACTTCTTAAAATGGTATGCAGTGTGGTCACCACAGTCCTGAATGATGACCTGGCATCTCTCATACTTTCAGTA